AGGGTGGGTGATGGGCACTGAGGAGGGCACCTGTTGGGATGAGCACTGGGTGTTGTGTGGAAACCAATTTGACAATAAATTTCACATATTGAAAAAAAAATAAAAAAAACAAAAAATAAAAATATATATGTAATAAATAAATAAATAAATAAAAAGCTGGGCACCAAAACACAAGGGCGCCAATTGGTGGGAGAAAATAAAGGAAATCCGAAACCGGGACAGTTCAAGAACGCACCTACTGTGATTTAAAGATTCTAGACTGGAAGACAGCCTACCGCCTCCCCTGGGCACACAGGTTGGCAGGATCACCATACGAGCTTCCCTGTATTTGTATTTCCAATCATAAAAGCAACGTAAGCACATGGCAGGAAATCTGGGATCAGATTAAGGGAGAAAATACTTTTAAGCCCCTCAGTCTGATCCCTCTCTGCTGTCACTGGAGAGCCTGTCCTTCATGTACTTCGGTCTGGGCTTTACTCACTGTTTCAGACCTGTCACCACAATAACTTCCGGCTTTGCACCCAGTGTGGCCATCCACTTTAAAACAAAAGAATGGGCCTTTCCTGTGTGTTAAACATGGCACAGCCCAAGGAAAAGCTGTGTCACCTTGTCCGAAGAGGATGTCTCCACGGGTGATCCACCAGACAGGCGGGGATCATGGTTTGCCACTGATTTCTGCTTAAAAATGAATGTCTGTCCCATCCCAGGGTCGCAGCTCTGCGAGAAGTCTCTGAGATGGTGAGCAGCACTCCAGGCCCAGAAAGATTCGCCAGAGGCTTCATTGTGAGGAACGCAGCCCACCGTGACCGCTGAGCCCTCTACATGCAGCAGGGACGTCACTAGGGCTCAGATTCGGGTGGTGGCACCCCGCATGGGTGAGAACCCTCCTCCGTGGAATGTGGGAAGCCTGAGAATCCCTGATCCGTGAGGTGTTCAGCCTAATGAAACCTTCCTCTCCACCAGTGGACTCTAAGAGAGATCTAACAATTCACAGTAAAACTGTGTCCTCATCAAGTGATTGGGAAGGCCAGATTTCAGGTCAGTTTCTTTTTGCTGTTGATGGATACTACAATGAGTGATCGACTTACAACCACCCTTCTCTTGTGACATGTCACCTATAAACATAGGCTCTGCACTCAAATGCAGGGCACCTTGCTATAAAGTCCACCCAGAGTCAAAGGTTGCAAACACTGAGCCAATCCGGCCGGTTGTTGTGTTCCAGACTGTTCCATTCTTCCATGTGCTGACTGACACACTGCTTTACATTAAGGGAATTTGGAGATCAGGAGACTTTGTGGGCAAGTTCCTGGTTGGTCTGCTGATAGTGACTCCCAGGCTCCACCCCCTCTCTTTCTGCTTGTAAACAAAACACTTTCCCTTGTTTTTCTAGTCCAAATTCTCCTCCACAGTGAGACAGTGCACAGCAGTGCAGAGTGGGAGAAAACAATGTCTACATTTAACGCATGCATTTCCTGTAAGAACATGTGAGTAAGGCTAGGGGTGCCTGGGTGACTCAGTCAGTTGGGCCTCTGACTCTTTTCATTTCAGCTCAGGTCATGATCTCACGATTTGTGAGTTCAAGCCCCACACTGGGCTCTGTGCTGACAATGTGGAGCCTGCTTGGGATTCGCTCTCTCCCCCTCTCTCTCTCTGCCCCGGCCCTGCTTGCATTCTCTCTCTCAAAAGAAATATATGAACAAAAAACATTATTTAAAGATTTAAAAAAAAGAACATCTGAGTAAGGCTAAGGACATTTTTCCAGACTCCTCTTTCTGGAATTTCCAGAAGGAAGGGCACATTGAATCCCTGCAGTGGCCGGGGACATCTGTTTTCACGGGTCGTCTTCCTACTGCCTTTGCAGCCAGGTCACAGACTCCGAAGCACAAAGGTGTGAAGAAGAATGATCTCCCCCAGCTCAACTCCAAGGCTGGGAAGGAAATTACTGCACCCATGTCCTCTCCCCCACCCCACGGCCAGGACCCTGGGACCACTATGAAAATTCAGACTCTCAGTAGCTGTGGAGGGTAAGAGGTGATCATCCCTCCCAGGACACTTCCAATTTGTTTTTTTTTTAAATATATATTTATTTAAGAGAGAGAGACTGAGGAAAGGGCAGAGAGAGAGGGAGACACAATCCCAAGCAGGCTCCAAGCTGCCAGCTCAAAGCCTGATCAGGGCTTGATCCCATAAACTGTGAGATCATGAGCTGAGCCATAACCAAGAGTCGGTTGCTTAATCGATCAAGCCACCCAGGCGCCCCCTCACTTTCCAATTCATATGGCAGGACATCTATGGGATACCCCAAGCTTATTTTTGATAATCCCTTTCCACTGAGCACTTAAATCAACTGAATTATTATTTATTTCTAGAAAGTCTGTCTTTGAAAAATTACTACATGATTATAGTCGGCCCTTGAATAACACAGGGATTAGGGGTGCTGGACCCCCACACAGTTGAAAATCTAGATATATTTTTGACCCCCCCCCAAACTTAACTACTAATAACACTCTACTGTTGACTGGAAGTCTTACTGATAACATAAACAGGTGATTAACACATATTTTGTATGTTTATATGGACCATGGACTATATTCTTACAATAAAGTAAGTTAAAGAAAAGGAAATGTAAGTAAGAAAATCATAAGGAAGAGAAAACAGATTTACAGCACTGTACTGTCTTTAAAAAACGTGCATAGAGGTGGACTTTGCACGGTTCAAATCTGTATTATTCAATGTCACCTATATTATAAGGAATTTGGAAAAAATACAGTAGTGTTTACAGAAGGAAATGTTAGTTACCAAAACACCACTGTTAATATTTTCTATGTATTTCTATGTATACAGGAGAGATTATAATGTGCATATGTATAATTTATCTTCTGCTTTGAAACCCTGCAACATCCTAAGCACTGAACTTTTGTTACTAAAACCTCTTCAGAAATATTTTAGTGTTCAAAATGGTTCTATCCTGTAGCTGTATAACAATTTACTAGACATTATTGTTGGTCATCTGTTTCCAATTTTTATTATTGTGTCATATATAACTATATAACTATATATATATATAGTTATACATATATATATATGTATAACTATATATAACTGCAATGAAACCTGCATGCATAAAACACTTTTTCCTGCATTTCTTTCATTTCTTTAGGATAGAGTCTCAGACACAGAGGTCCTACCTTAAAGGGTGTGACTAATTCTGAGGACTCCTGATACACATTGTTATGATCTGGGCTGGAAAGACACACCTGCCATTTACTTCATTTTGTCCTGTGTCCTTAAACCTTAGAGCAACAGTGTTTCCTGGATCAGAGCGTATCATGTGATATCTGGGAGCTCAACACATTAAGAAGGAAAGAAGCAGTCAGCCTTCTCATTTCCTGTCTACTTTGTGGGGACGGTTATTACAGAGAGGGCGGGAGGAGGGAAACCAGGCCTAGCAACTGTAAAGAGATCAAATGATTTCCCAGTCCAAACACAGAAGAGGAAACTGATAGGTAGCTGATGCATTGATGCTAACTGTATGCAAACCACAGGACAGGGACAGACACCTTTCAAATAACCCGTGTGCCCAAAGCCTCATTTTGTTCATCTCATTCTTTACAAAGAAAAAGGCAGACCTTTTCATATAAAACAGAGAATTTCAGACCGATAAACAGCATTTCTCACCTTCCGGAGCCTTGCAAGCAGACCTGCTACGTGCTCGTGCTGTTCTGATTTAGCCAGCTCTTCTGCTGTCTTCCCATCCTGTTGGAGAAAAAGGATTAGTTTCTTTCCTTCGCACAAGAGCTGTTTGTTCCATACATTAGCTCTGCCTTCGGAGGCAGAAATAGGCGTAACAGGCGTCAGAAACAAAGAAGGTGGATAAACAGTGTGTCCTAGATTCTTTCTCTTCTGTAGAATCCTTATTTCACTGGGCTGCCCAGGAAAAGAAGAGGAGAATTAGGAAAAAATTGTGCACTGGTGCCTTGAAGTCCATCGGTGCGATGTTTCAGACCCACAAGCTTTCATCACACTTGGCACCTCGCTAGCGAGCAGATTACCCCAAATCCTGAACCCCTCTCCAATAAAGCAGACAATGAAGACTTTCACAGATGCCAAATTCTAGTTAGTGCTAGCTAATGACTTAAATTCCTTCCAAGAACAAACCTCAGCACTCATAGGATGCTAGTTACTGGTAATAACTGTGCATTTCAAAGAAAAGGCTTAGTTTTATGGACCATTTTGACCTAAAGAGTTTCAGTGAACATAAAAGAAGGACATCAGAGTCTGCAGCACCTTTCAATTAGAGAATTTTCATAGGGCTGCAGTTTCGTAGCGAGCAAATTCACTTCCATTTCTGTGCCATGAATAAGCACGACACCGGCTAACACGTACGGAGCACCTCCCGATATCATGCGCCTGGTCCAGCTCTCA